AGAAGGGGAGCATTCGAGTCTCCAGACCAAGTTTTTTAAAGCAACAGGCTAATTACTGCCTGGGAATCACTTTCCTGTAGCCCTTTTCCCATGCAAACTCAAAGCCGTGGATAATAAAGCCATAGTTATGCCTTCACGAAGGGGCAAGCACCTATTTTGCAGGCAAAAGCCCTAAAAATTCTACGAGTGGATTCCCCTTGCTTGCACCATCAGTATTCTCTTTAAAGACTACAATCCCTTTTAACTATAGAGAGTTTGATTCGATTCTCTTCCCGACCCAAAATAAATAAAGCTTCATAAAGGGATATGTTTGAAAAGATTTTAATTGTTAATCTATAACTCAAGTATTAAATATGTATAGAAGTATTAAACACCTTTCAAGCTGAAGCGCGTCAGAAACTAAAGGTGGAAGCTCATGGGAAACAAATTGGACTTGCATTCCGTGCCATACCTTGCCACCAAAACAAGTGAATCCTGATGAAGCCATGCAGTTATATATATACATCACCATCTTCCTTGATTCTTGGGAAGATTGTGGCTCCTGCTGGATCAGTAGGACAAACAAAACTGCGATGAGAATGGTCTCATGTTCGGCATCTTCTGCATTCTTTATTTGCTAACAGTGGCGTCCAATCGCGATCTAGTGTAGTCCCATCCGAAATTGACAGGCAGCAAGTGGCCACGCCGTCCCAAAAGGGTACCTCTCCTTGGCCATAAATTTAATGGTTGAAATTCGAAATGATCAAAATATCGCGGAGGTTAGCAGTTGAAATTAAGCTGATTGTAACTGCAATCGATGCATGTTGAGAGAAGATGGTAATGGTCGGCTAAAATATGAAAAAGCTAAGACACAGGAAAAACTCTTCCTCTTTGGCTCATGAGATAACCTACTTGGTCTTGAACCTCTTCCCCATTAGAAAAGAAAAGAAAAAAAATCTTATGAGAATACAATGTGGAAGATCGCAGCTTGCAGTTGCTGATTTAATGATGAACCTCTCCAATTGCTCTTCGGTGGCTAGAAAGAATTTCCATGCACATAAGAGGGACATCCACCGAAGAAATGCAGTGCTCCATTGAAATGTCGAACTAGAATTAAAGAGATGGAAATATAGAAATATCTTCCACTATGAGAAATGCTACTTTTACAGCACACTGAACCAGCATAGAATATGGTCAACTGAGCAGGTGCTTCAGAGGATTTAGTACCATCCCTACAAATCAGATTCAAGTTTAACTCTCCAGTTATGGCCATGTCTAAGGGATTATTGAATAAAACAGCACGTAGAAAAAAGAAACAGACTTTGAGATACCTAAGATCAGTGGTGCCAATGATCGAACTCGGAGTGGGAAGAGCAGATGGAGGGGTTATGACTGGAACTCCTCCCAGAGGTTTTGGGACTATTGAAGTAGAAAGCATATTATGTCCTGTGGGAGGAAAATGGGACTGCAGGATGGGGGAGCTCATAGAAACGGTGATTGTTTGATTTTGTTGGCCGGAGATTGAGAACATCCTCGTATCCTGTGGCCGATTAACAGAGTAGGCATCGAACTGCTGTGTACCATAGGTTGTCACAGGATAATGGTTTCCAGCTTGTTTATCAATAGCCATGTTTTTCTACAATTTGTAGAAGGAAGGCAATGGTCAAACAATCAGCAAAACAAAATAAAAACATCTATCGATCCTGAAGAAGGTTAAGACTCTCACCACTTCATATCCATTTACCAGGAAGAAGGGAAGATAAGTGGTCTTTATACCCTGAAGAAGGGAATTAGCAACAAACCTGAACCAAGCCAGAGTATGTTTTCTGGTTAGAATCAAAAGCATCAGCAGTTGAAATAGATATAAGGCCAGAGGAAGATGCTACAGGATCATGACCAGCCTTTCTTGGTTTATCTTCCGGAGAAGACTTGAATGACAAGAATAGAGGAATGGCAGAAACCTTGTTTGAAAAAGACCCCTGCCTCCCTGACCCTCTCATGGCTACTGCAACACCAAAGAAATTTGGCAAAGATGTCCTATTAGCTGTGTTAATGATTGTAACCTCCAATTAAACTTAAGATCTAATCTGATAAAATAAATAAAATATATTTTAAACACTCAAAACCAAGAACCGAATAAAAAATTGCCAGCCACTGTTCATTGAAGGAGAACAGTAGATTACATTAACAATATGGCTATAAAGAATCTTGATATAATCAAAGAGAAATCGTAAGCGGGCGAGGTAGAAAAATATTATTAAAACCTTTTACGCGGAAACAACTATAGACAGGCACACGACACAGAGTACACACATGAATAAACCATAATTTAAATCCAATAATTAAGCATCTAAAGGGAATTGTTTAATGATACCTTTCAATAAAGACAGAATACACACATGTTCCTTTCTCATCATTTTTCCCATTTTTGTATCTTTAAGCTATTGGTGTATTTATATTTTTATTTAGTTTGTGTTTCTGCATTACTTTACTTTTATATTTTCTTTTCTTTTCTTTTCCTTTTTTATTGAGTGTTCCTTTTCTTTTTCTTTTTTGTATATTCAATTGTTGTTTTAAGCCTCTATGAATTTATTTCATCGTTTCATTTCATCCCATGAGAGTTATTGATGGTATTTTTTTTTTGTCAAATAAAGATTTCATTTACCATTTTCTATTATCTTATTTCATTTAACTATTATAAATTATAATTTGTTGAGCTTCTATTTGTGCTCTTCACAACTTTTGCATTGTTTACAGCGTTCATCAACCAGATTTGATGATTTTATCCTTTTTTCTTACAATTTGTTTTCATGATTTTTTTCTCCTCGTTGTATTTGAATTGATGAACAAGATGTTGTCCAATAGATTATTATAAGCATATTTGTATTACATTAATGTTTATTTATGTTTTGATCCATTGATTTTTATTTCATTATATTTTTTTTATTTATCATTTTACATGTGTTTTTGTATTTGACAAATTAGGTTGAATAGATTTTTTTTTGGTCATTTTCTTATAATAAGTTAGTTGTGTTAACTTAATTTTACAAAATGTATGATAAATGTGCAATGTTTTAATTTTTTTTTCAAATAAATTAGGATGTGATTTGGGTTTTAGCAAAGAAAAAAAAATAAGAATTATTTCATACATGACCCTCCATTGATGCCTTCCAATGAAAGTGTTGTCATTTATGATTGTTCTCTTTAATGAAGGATTATAGGAACTATTTCATGTTTTTTGCTTATAAAATTATTTAAAAGTATGTTATTAATGTCAAATATAAATAATTGGATTATGATAATATATATAAAAAAAAGCATTTTTTCTAATTGTTTGAGCCTTACTTAAATAACTGGAAATTCCTGCAATTTCAGCCTGATGACACCACTTAATACTCAGCACTTGGAATGCCCTTATATGCATAATTTTTTTGGGTTTTCAAATAAACTTTCTAAGCAAATGAATCTTTTTTGGCATATACTTTTTTCTATGTAGAACAAGTATTATCTTTAAAGTCAATGACACTATTTATTACTAATATTTTCATAAATAGTGCATATGGCATGAAACAATAATCAATGTAACAACCATGGCTAGTCAATAATAGTTCATATTCAATTTGATGATAAGTACTTTAGCCTACTTCAATTATCCTCTTAAGTGAATAAATTTTTTGTGCTCATTTAAATGTAAATACATTTTTAAGGAATGTAATATTTTTTGGTTTTATTAAGATGAGTATCATTAATATTTGACTTGTGTACATAAAATTAATATACACTATTATTATTGTAAATATATCTAATAAAAATATAATACATAATTTTAGTTGTATCTTTGGGGATAAAGTATTGTCACTTTTACAAAACACCCTTACACTTTTGAGATATTTATAAAAAAAATGTTATATCTTTCTACAGTTCATATGATATCTTCTCTAATTTTTATAGGGTATTTTTTCAATTGTAGAATTGATAGTCAAGATTCTACACTCACAAGTTCTAAAGGGCTTTCAAATTTATTAACATGATATTCATTATGTTTTTAGAGCTTGGTTTTTTATTTCAACAATGTTATTTTGTTAAGATAAATAAATAGTAGTAGTTTGGTAGATAATAACATATTGACAATAAAATTCACCAAAATTTGTTTTTCACTCTCCATCATTATCACTTTTTATTCCCTATATCTTTTTTTAAATTAATTTTCAACTTCTAATTTTAAAAACTTTTTGCTTCTAACAAAATATGTATAATAATTCAAGATTAATTAGTAAGTATATGTGTAACAATACTTGTTTATAAAAGTAATGCAATATTTTTTCCACTTCTAGATTACATAAGTTTTAATAACCAATAATTGAGAAAATTAAATTTAGAAGTTAACTATTTTTAATTATTTGAAAAAAAAATTATGAATTTTAATTTTACAAAAACTCCCCACTTATGCTTTTTTCAAAAACTTTCAAATAAGGTTGTGGTTTTTTTTTTAATATTAGTAGGTGTTTTTTTTTTTGCGACCTTACATAATATTTTTTAATTTAATTTTATTCAATTATTTTTATGTTCATGTTTATTTTTATTAATATATAATTAGTAAAAAATCAAAGTTATTAAATACAATTAGATCAATTGCCTATTTTTCAATATTAGATATCTTTATCTATATTTATTTGTATAATTAACATTAACAACTATTTTTTTCTTTTAATTACACATATATTTCAAGATTTATTTAATTATATGAATACATTAGCCATAAAATTTACCCATCTTTCTGAAACTTAACAAAACGACTTCCAACTGTTGCTTGGGGTGCATTTGTCGGACATAATTAGAAATTTTCTTTTAAAAAAAAAACAATAAATACAATTAGAAAGGTGAATTAAATTTATTCTGTCTGGATCTTATTGGTTTGTCCATGACCCCCACCAACCAGTTATGTCACAATTTTGCTGGCCCTGGCTTTTATTCTTTGGCTTTGAAAGGCCAAAGGTTATGAAAAAGAAACATACAAACAAACAGAGAACGAAAGAAAAAGGCTGGTCTCTAGCGCACAATGTAACGAAGACAGAACAAGCACCGGAAACATCAAGGCAAATTAATGAAGAAAACAAGGGAGGTTAAATCCAGAAAAAGAAAGGCTGTACCATCTCGATTTTGTCTGCAATCCACATGGTTCATCCCTCACCTTTTTATAGCCTACCAGAATTCTAACTTCAGTTCTCAAGGAATTCTTGAAACCAATCTTTGGCTAAGCCAAAAACAAGATCAAAGGGTGCTCACTGATCTCCATCGACGATGAAGAACCTAGGCCGGTCAGATGCAAATAACAATCTTGAGACTCTCTTAGACATGGACAAAACGGCATTACATAAGAAAAATGGAGTGCCAGCGGAACCCCGGAAGATGATGGCAGGACATGGCCTGGAGTTCAAGAACCTGTCATATAGTGTCATGAAAAAGCAGAAGAAAGACGGGGTGTGGATCACCAAAGAAGCATATCTTCTCAATGATATCTCTGGACAGGCTATAAGGGGTGAGGTTATGGCTATTATGGGGCCTAGTGGTGCTGGGAAGTCCACATTTCTTGACGCCATTGCTGGTCGGATTGCAAGAGGGAGTCTCCAGGGATCTGTTCGGATAGATGGAAAACCGGTTGGTTATCTACTATACCTCTCATTCAATCTTGAAAATATCTGATATTGCTCAACAACATGGTTATATATAAGGCATCTTCTGTGCAGGTAACTACAAGCTACATGAAGATGATTTCATCTTATGTAATGCAAGATGACCAGCTCTTCCCCATGTTGACTGTTTTTGAGACCTTCATGTTTGCAGCTGAAGTCAGACTTCCTCCTTCAGTTTCGAGGGCTGAGAAGAAGAAAAGAGTCCATGAGCTCCTTCACCAACTGGGCTTAACGGTATGACTTCTTCTTCCTGATCACTCACACAGTCACCGAGACATGTACTACATTATGTGAGCATAAACTTGAAGTTAGTAGCATATTTGGTTCTGCAGAGTGCAACACATACGTATATTGGGAACGAGGGAAACAGAGGAGTGTCAGGAGGGGAAAGGCGAAGAGTGTCCATAGGAATTGATATTATCCATAAGCCATCCCTGCTGTTCCTTGATGAACCTACTTCGGGTCTTGATTCTACAAGTGCCTACAGTGTGGTTGAAAAGGTGAAGGACATAGCTCGGGGTGGTAGTATAATCTTGATGACCATCCACCAGCCATCTTTCAGGATTCAAATGCTCTTGGACCGTATCACGATTCTTGCAAGGTAAAATGACTGAAAAACTCAATTCCTATAAAACCCTGGAATTGTACCCATCAGATTCTCCGCTAGTGTTATTACATCTTGCTTGCTAAGACATCAAACCATGCAAACAGGGGAAGACTGATATATATGGGAAGCCCAGTTGCTCTTCCTAACTATCTTTCTAGATTTGGAAGGCCTATTCCTGATGGTGAAAACAGCATTGAGTATTTCCTGGACGTGATCAAGGAGTATGATGAATCAACCGTGGGACTTGATCCCCTTGTGTTTTACCAACGCGATGGTATCAAACCGGATCAAGCGGCACAGACACCAGTCCGCAAAACACCAAGAACAGCAAGGACACCACGTTGGTATCAAAGGAACTCCTCGCCGAGCACCGTCATGGACTCCGGCGAGAACTCCAGGAAGGACACCCGGGAAAACACCAATGACTGGGCCAAGAAGCCAATCTTCGAGCCGATTCTCAACACCACAGCATGTTGTTTCTCGTCCAAAACCCCTAGAATTTTCTAACCCCTCGCTGGACCGATATTCCCCTTCTTACGAAGAATTAAGTTGTGAGGAAGAGCTTGATGAGTCAGATCACGGTCCTAAATTTGCAAACCCATGGCTCCGGGAGGTAGCAGTTCTTTCATGGCGCGCAGTACTTAACGTGGTTCGCACTCCTGAGCTTTTCCTCTCGAGAGAGATCGTATTAGCTGTTATGGCACTCATTCTATTCTTACTTTTTAAGAACCTGGGTCTTCCATCTTTCCAAGACATTAACAGGCTTCTCAATTTCTACATCTTCGCAGTTTGTCTTGTTTTCTTTTCATCCAATGATGCTGTCCCAACTTTCATCCAAGAAAGGTTCATCTTCATCAGAGAAACCGCCCACAATTCCTACCGCGCTTCTTCCTATGTCATCTCCTCACTGATAGTGTATCTCCCTTTTTTCGCTGTACAAGGCTTGACATTTGCTGCCATCACCAGATTCTTGCTTCATCTGAAAAGCAATCTCTTCAACTTTTGGTTGATTCTTTATGCATCCCTCATAACTACTAATGCCTATGTGATGCTTGTTAGCGCGCTTGTCCCGAGTTATATCACAGGTTATGCCGTCGTGATTGCGACAACTGCTCTATTCTTCCTGACCTGTGGGTTCTTTTTGAAGCGCTTGCAGATACCTATCTACTGGAGGTGGCTCCATTACATATCTGCAATTAAATATCCCTTTGAGGGAATGCTATCAAATGAGTTTAAAGGCTCAAGATGCTATTCAGGGAACCCTTCAGAACTTTCACCAGGCCCTCTCGGAGAGATCAGACTCAGCCAACTGCATAATGACTCAAAATTAGAGCCAAACTGCATGTTGATTGGGCAGGATATTCTATTCTCCATGGATATTAAGATGGACAGTATTTGGTATGACATCGCTATCTTGTTAGCTTGGGGAGTTCTTTACCGATTCTTCTTCTACCTGGTTCTTAGATTCTACTCCAACAATCAGAGGAAATGAAGCTGCCTTGTTTACTGTTGTTTTGCCGTTTGCATTTGTTTTTGTTCCAAATCAACGCTTTGTCTTAAACTCTAGGCCATGACTAATACAATATATAATCCATATACTATGACAATTACGTAGTTGAATGTTTAGGGATTTCTTGTTTTCTAATTTAGAACATAACTGGAAATCATGGAAGCATGCAAAGCATGGTGGGATTTTCAAACAACGAAGCTCTTTGTTTTTGTTGCTCTTAGAAATGGAAATCAAGGCAATGACAAATGTAATTAGTCTTATAAACATAAATAAACATTTTTCAGCATGAACAAAATGTATTCTCTCTGCTATATCATTACTATACTCAAATCAGGATAGCTTCCATGCCAAGTTCCCAACCTTATTTGGAGGCTCAACTAGGACTTCGATAGAAAAACCATAATTATTATGTTTTGTCCGTACAAACAAGAATAAATCCCAAAAGAAGCATAGCTTGAGCGTGCCTCTTCTATTAAAAATATAATAATCTCATACATTTCTCACGTCTTAATATCGTTGTTAAGTTTGATTACAGAAAACACATCCAAGGCTCTCGCCGTAGATTAGCTCGAGACTAGCCTGCATGTTGTTCAATTTTCCTTTCCAGTCCATTTTTATCAGCCCCCACAACCTTGTCAATCTCCTTGCCATTCTTTGTAAAGTAGAAGGTAGGAGCACTGCTGATATTCCAGCTTGAAGCAACTTCCCTTGCCTCGTCTATGTCAACTTTCAAGAAAACGACTTTCGGGTACTTTGCAGCTAAACTTGTGAAAATGGGAGAAATCATACGACATGGCCCACACCATGTTGCCGTGAAGTACAAGATTGCAAGGCGAGAAGTTTTTGATGCAGCATTCAGTTTGGGATCTAGTTCCCTAGCAGAATGAATGCCTATAACCTGCACTGTTCATATAAAAAATAAAAAACCATGGTAAGGTGACCTAGAGACACCATTCTCCTTGAAACACCATAAAAATGACAAGTATATCTAAAAAATTTATCAAGTTATCTCCTCCACTCAGAAAGTTACAAGAGATATCCTAGTCTCTTTTGACTCTTCAATAACTATAGTGATCAAAAACATAACAAATGACTATCATTAACTCTTTTAGATAAACATTCTTAAGAGCAAGCAACGGCCTTTCTATGTTCACATATTTCACTGCTCCTGGTTCTGCCCTAACAACGTTACTATGATTATTCTCTCACCCTTCACTGTACTTGATCGTATGCATGACAAATATGCATAAGTTATTGAGTGCTGGACATCAAAAACTAATGAAAAATACACTAAAACACACACAATTACAGCAATACACTAAATGACGGACGAACTACAACACTTGACACATACATAAACCAAACACAAGAACAGAAATGACATAAGAAGACTGGAGACATCTGGAAAAAGAGCAAGTCTGTTCACTGTTAGCATTCTTTTATGCTATTTAATTAATCACTTAAAGAAAAAGGCCTTGATTACCCATGAATTTCTTCTTCCTGGTTGTACCAATACAAACCACCCCCTCACCCAACAAAGAAGAAGAAATAAATGCCCTAAACTACGCAGGGACGTGTGGTATTTCAAAAAAGGTAGGACTGACCCAGAAGTGCTTAATCTAAACACTGGCTAGATAAGTACTGGGCACTGAGTAACAATACCAAACTATCATCCGCAGAGGAATGATTCCGGGAATAGATATTCCAATGTCTAAAAGCGTGAACGCCATATAGTGAAATCATGTTAGATTTAGCATCACTTGATCCAAAATGAAAATTTTGTCTGATGCACTGCTGGATTGCTTGTGTGTGCATGCGCACAATGCAGACGAGACAGAAGAGAATAGAAACCATACCTTCATTCAGAGCATATAAGGCTTCTCTTTCCTGCATTGTATCAAGGGTATTTCAGTACACAGCAATCAAATACAAACAAACTATAATTTAGAAAACCATGCGGAATAAGAGAAAGCAGTGTTGGTTGTATAGCATCAGTTTCTATAATAACGGCCAAAGAAGTCGAAGCACTCGTGAGCATACATGAGATAAATCTGCTATTGAACTTATGTTATTTATACTCAAATGCCCGTATTACAAACCATAATATATCTTTAACTCTATTTATGTTATAATATACATGAGATAATAAATCAAAGTGGTAAGTCAAATCAACTTTGTTGATTAATATTGCTGAATAGTGAAATCATGTTAGATTTAGCATCATTTGATCCAAAATGAAAATTTTGTCTGAAGCACTGCTGGATTGCTTGTGTGTGCACGCGCACAATGCAGACGAGACAGGAGAATAGAAACCCATACCTTCATTCAGAGCATATAAGGCTTCTCTTTCCTGCATTGTATCAAGGGTATTTCAGAACACAGCAATCAAATACAAACAAACCATAATTTAGAAAACCATGCGGAATAAGAGAAAGCAGTGTTGGTTGTATAGCATCAGTTTCTATAATAACGGCCAAAGAAGTCGAAGCACTCGTGAGCATACATGAGATAAATCTGCTATTGAACTTATGTTATTTATACTCAAATGCCCGTATTACAAACCATAATATATCTTTAACTCTATTTATGTTATAATATACATGAGATAATAAATCAAAGTGGTAAGTCAAATCAACTTTGTTGATTAATATTGCTGATCTTACTAGCATTTGCTTGTTCTATAAACAAGTATCTAGAAAAATTTCATGAAATCATAAATAGAAAAATGTAGATAAAAATCAATAATTTATACGAATAGAGGATAGACAGCCATATTAAATGATGCAAAAAGATTATAAACTAATTTCAAGTTTGTCTTAACATTGTTTTATTTGTGATATTAGATTGCTAATTTTTCAAATTAATATAAGCTATAACTTGTTCTAAAAAGCTCATAAATCATTTAAGAGTAGCTGTGATTTTTTTTACTAAACTTGTCAACTGTCATGTATTAGCTTAAAAAAAGCATTATGCATCATAAACACAAACTTTCAGATAAAAAACAAATGTAGGTCAACAAAAAAAGTACAACTATTAGATTTTTTTAAGGGAAAAAAACTCATTAGGGTTCAGCTTCTCGTTTTCTTTCATGTTTAGCTTTCCTTATCTCCTTTTTTTTTCTGCAGGCGTTCATATTTTATATGATGCTCTTTAATTTTGTGCTCATTAGGTTCAACCTGTGAATTTAATTATACTATCAGAAAACATTTACTGTACCAACTCATGATACAGAACGGTAGATTACCTTTTTCAACACTGAACCAATCTCGTCATCATAATTCAACTTTGATGCCATTTGCATATCACTTGCTGCTTGTTCCCGTTGGCCTAACATGGCTCTGGCCATAACTCATGCTTTATATTTTTTTTACAGAGTTTGGATTGATCTAATGAATAAAATTCACCTCTGTAAGTCATGTTTTTCCAATGGGATAAATACAGACATATAACAACTGATTAATCTAAAATCTTAAAACTTTTTCAACTACCTATACAAAATAGGTTGTGGAAAGGACTCAGCCACAGACTTACTGCCAGAGCAGCATCAGTATCACGAATTGCAGTATGAGGTTTCTTTACTTTAACGAAGACACTAGCTGGAAAAATAAAAAGCATCTTAAGACATTGAGAAAACAATAAAATAATAGGGTAGGCCAGGCATCAAATGAGAACTGAAAATTGGATTTCAAATTAGATAAACATATTATTTTGTAAAAAAGAAAACCTACCTCGCGTGGCATATAATATAGCTGAAATTGGATTCAACATGATGGCTTATGTTAAATGATCTATGGCTTCATCCAGGTTACCTAGAAAGTAAGACAAAACTTGGCAAGGAATACCATGGGATAAATCTTAAACAAAAAATATAATTGCAAAGGCCTATGGTATACCTTCAAAAATTGCATCCATAGCTTTTGTCTTTTCATTTTGAGCAGCATCCCGCTTTTCTTCTGTAACTTCAACTACAGGACCTTCCATTTGTAATCATAAAACATGTTTGCTTAGCCAATGTTTAAGACATTATAAAAGCCTATGTACCAATTAAATGTGAGTGGTTGAACTCAATAGACACTTTCCATTACCTTTTATAGAGGATCATTATCAGGTTTCACAACATCAGTATTATCCAATTTAATATCAGACTCGACAATATCATCATCATCATCTTCAATTGGTCTTTTGGAATTATAGCATTCCCTAAAGTCAGACATGCTAATATCACTTTTCTCCTGCATAAGAGCATGCTTCTATCAGCACATAACTATTTTCATATGAACAAGTAAAAGGAAAATTAACCTTCAAGCTATAAAAAAAAATCTTAAAAAAAAGGCTCGATAGTCATAATAAAAAAGAATGAGTACTAGTGATCTCTCTTTTGTGCCAAGTAAGTTATGGACATATGAACTCATAATCCACAAGGTTAGAGTCCAAAACCCAGAAGCACTATTTCTACCAGAGAATCAAACAACATAGAAAAAAAAATACTAAAGAAGAAGACATTCTTTATGAAATAAAAGACAATGTGATATTTTAGAGTGAAAATCACAGGAAAAGGAAGAGATTAATGAAATGTTTCAACTATAGAATCCTTCACTTTCTCTTTTTTAATAACTCCATATATTATCATTTACAGCTCAATATTTCATTAATTAGGAGAAATTTTTGTAGTACATTAATAAGTTTATATATATTCTGTTCAAAAATTGTAACTTTTCTCTTTTTTTCCTCATTTGTTTCCATTTTAAGAAATGATCATTAGAAAATGGAAAAGACTCCTCATCTTCCCAGTAAATTAGTATAGAAAACCATCTTTTAAAATACTTCAACAGTATACAATTGCAAGAAATGAAGTTACAGCTTATTTCCTGTGACAACAATATAAGTCCAAATCCTATGGAATCAAAAGATTTCTGCGTTATTACATAACCCAGAAGCAAAAGCATGTTAAAAAAAATAAAAAATTTATAAACTAGAAGTGAAAGAACCATGCCTTACCGGTTTTTTGTCTAGAGGAACTCGAGCACCTAGGCTGCAAACACGACAAAATAAACCAAAAAACTAATAAATCATTAAGACAAGAAACAAAAAATACTAAGATGATTAGAGAGATAGAGGTGGGAAATTCATACCTTTGAAGAAAACAAGAGATGGGGAGTGAAGAATTAAAGGGCAACTTGCACTAATCAATAAAGTGTTTGAGTTCTGTTATTTTAGCGGCACCCATAATCCATTTGAAATAATATTATATGCTTCTCTTTCTTTTTATTCTTTATCGATGGAGAATTTAGAAAGCGAGTGAGCATTTAGAACCTTTTACTGCTTTTGTTTTTGAAATGTTTCATGTTAGTGGAAAACAACAAACAGATCTTCTAACTATTTCTTGATTCTCAATTCAGTTCTTGATAAGACCTTTCTTTTTCTCAATTCAGTTCTTGATAAGACCTTTTTTTATTTTAAAAATATTTTTATTTCTTTCTTTATTTTCAATTTATTTTTTTATTTTTTTCAAATCATTTTAATATAATAATATAAAAAATAATTTTTTAAAAATAAAAAAATATTATTTTAATATATTTTTAATTAAAAAATACTTTAAAAAATAACTAACATTGTACTTTTAAATATCTCCTAAATTACATTGTTATAAATTAGGGGATTAGATTGGGTTGCCTTGGGTTTAAATTAATTTGGATCCATATTATTTTTGGATTTGGATCATCAAAGCACTTAATCCTAACTCTAATTCTAACTTATCAGGTCATCAGGTTCAGTAGGTTTCAGAATTTTTTTTCTTTTTTTTCTAAAAAGAAAATATTTTATAAGTTTATATATATATATACATGTGCCATAGCTATATACATTGTGATTTGTAAATACATCATAGATTTATATATGATAAGTAATTAAATTTAATAAAACAAAGATTTCATTAATTATAAGTTATTATTATATTGTTTAGCAAATCTTAAATATAGACTCATAAATGAGTATATATACATCTAGCAATGATTTTTTGTTTTTTTTTTCAAAAAAAAAAAGAAATTATTGGATTTAAATAGAGAAATCTAAGAAGTTAATCATGATGGAACATAATTCTTTTTTAAATTATCATAGTACTTGATATATAAAAGAATTTAGAAATACATAGAAAGTAAGTAATTTAACTAACGAGAAAATCACATTGAGTCTCTTATAGTATGATTGTTTTTTTATTTGAAAAATTTATGTTTTTTGATTAGTACTTAAAAGTGCATTTTTATCATGGTTTTATATCATCATTTTGCACTTGAAGTATCAATAACTCCTTAACTAAAATATGTTTTATAAGAATGTATCTAATAATATAAGATACCTATAATTTGTGATAAATGTCTATTTTTAATGCAGGCCTATCAAATAAATGAAAGGATTGATTGATGACATAGAGAACTTAAATTGCAAGGATAAAGAGATGGCCAAACTTAGAAAAGAGATGTCGGTGCAATCCAAACCGGAACACTGTTCGGTAAATGGGTCATATCTGGAGCTATATATATCAGATTTAGGTCCAATTTATATGGATAGAAAGGTAAGACATAGGCCTACAACTTTCATATGGAGCCCAAGATCTAAAAAGGCCATTATAAAGTCCAAATTGTAGCAACAACAAAGAAGCCCGAATCTGTCTTCCAGCCCGAGCACTGTTCGGTATTTTAGCCATATCTGGAGTTCTAGAAGTCCAAATGAGCTGAATGTTTTACACAAGAAAGATGAGACAATTCCATACAACTTTCATGTTTGCAACTGGCTCCAATTGTGACGTTATCAATGACGTTTTGGGCAGACAAGAGAAGATAAGGATTGTCACCAAGTCAAAAGTTGGCCACCCACTTATCAATTAGTCATCAAATCAATAGTTCCCAATTTTGGCCTATAAAAGGAGGCATTTGCCATGCATTTAGGCATCTTGGTTTCCAGATCAAGATCCACTTATCACTTTCTCTCTTTGTATTTTTTGTAATGTTTATGCTTTACTTTCATTAATATCAAGTTTATGCCTTTTTTCATTCCTAATCAAGCTAAGCTAAAATTTCAAATCATGTAAAATTCTAAGGAACAGAATACCCATTTTTACGTTTTACGGGCATAATTTCTTTCTTTCCACGATATTTTCTCTCCCCGTGAGTAAAAAAACCCCAAATATTGTTTAACCAAATTAGTTTTTCTAATCATTTCTCTTATTTGGATCTACTTGCCTCAAGATTATATTTACTAGATTGTTTTTATTATTATTATTATTATTAATATAGATATCCGAGTTAGTTTACATGTATTTTAACTAATCTCACGAGTCCTAAAATAAATAATCATGTAAACCTTCAATGGTCTTGAGATTTGTAAAATTCAAACTAATAACTTTTAAAAAGTAAATTTAGAATCTAACCAGTTAAAATATACCTCTTAAAATTAGATTAATTATTTGATTGTGCGGATTTTGGGTGGGATTTTGCTTGCTTTACTAGATAGGCACGTGGAAAGAGGAGCAGTGGCATGGTTGCTCTAGTAGTGGTAGCCATTTATTTAAAAAAAAATAAAAAGTAACTTAATTGATCAGATTTTAAATTTATTCCCTAATAGTTATGAGTTTGAATTCCCTTAGGATAATTGAAGGTTTATATAATTGTTAACTTCAAGACCCGTAGAGTTAATCAAAAAATATATAAGTTGATCTGGATAACAAAAAGAAAAACTCTTGAATACTCCTTGCATCAAAGAGTTCGATCTAGTAAAAATTCTAATGGAAAACTCTAGTTAGGGTTTCATGGAGTGATAATTTTTGTTGTTTTAACATGGTATAGATTTTTTAGTCATTAATTAAAATAAAATAATAATTTTGTAAATAATACTAATTTTTTTATTGATTCTTTTAGCAGATGGAAAGTGTTATACATTTTATAAACTATAAGATATAAATTGTAATTTTTTAAAATAAAAAACAAAATAAAATAAAACAAGAGGACTCAAAGTAATTTTCCATAAATGCATATACTTTGTTGGAGACTATTACAATTATTGCTTTAACAAAGTAGAAAAAAAGACATTTATATATCAGGGTTCTTATATGCTCTAATTTTTTAAATAGATTTGGATTTGATTCATATTTGTCACCTTTATTATAAAATCTATAATTAATCCCATTTTATGATGGGTATTGCTTTTTAATCTATAATAATTTATCATAAAATCACAAACATCTAAGAAAAAAGAAATTCAAGAAGCTAATCATGATATATAAAACATAATTATGAAAATATAATAGTTTATATGTAAAAGGATATAGAAAGATACAGGAAACAAATAGCCTAATTAATGGAAAAGTAATTACATATTAATGTTCATGTAGCCGTATCTAGGAAATACATAAAAAGTCTAAAAAAATTAAGAGGGTAAAAGGTTATTTCTCCTTATTAATATACTTGGGATTTTATAAATTAAAAGGTTTATATAATACTCTATCCACCATTTATCCTACCTGTTATCATAAATCAATTTAATTGTACTCAAGACTTTCATGTTATTTTACTTTTTAATTATATTGAATTTTAGGTTGAAAACACTACACTCATCACCCTAACTTGATAGCCAAATCTTAGCATGACTTTATTCCTTCTACGTCATTGTGAGATGATAAATAATAATTACAACTAATAGCTAATCTTAGCTATGGAGTAGCAAAGCTTTGTCATAATTGAATTTTCAAAAATAGTGATAGAATATAGTTTATATATAATAATAATAAATAAATAAATCATTCTATGTCTTTTTGACACCCTCCATTGCAGCCCACAAGAGGATGACTTATGGTGAGTTAGGCCCCATTGAGTTCGTGGTGATTTAGATATCAATATCATAGGAGAGCCATCTCGATCGACTATAGCCTAATATCCTTTTTCAATTTTCGGCAATGAAAAAGGGCAAAGCCAAAGGGCCAAGACACGGCAACAATATGTTCAAATGAGGATCTTGTTATGTTTTTGTATTTTAAAAAATAAATTTTATTTATTTTTTATTTTAAATAGGTATTTTTTTTGTGTTTCTAAATTATCTTGATGTGTTAGTATCAAAAATAATATTTAATAAATAAAAAATAGTATTTTAATACATTTCTAAAAAAAATATTTTAAAAATAAATAAATACCACGCTCCCAAATACTTCACTTAATTGCGTAGCCGCTACATATCTAGCAAGCCGATCAGCACATGCAGTACCCACTATGTATACATGCTGCATGGTACATGACCTCCCATGGCCTTTAACCTAGTTGGTGAAGTGAATTTCGTGCCATACCTTGGCCACCAAAACAAGTGAATCCTGATGAAGCCATGCAGCAGGTATATACATCACCATCTTCCTTGATTCTTGGGAAGATTGCGGCTCCTGCTGGATCAGTAGGACAAACAAAGCTGCGGTGAAAATGGTTTCTCGTTCGGCATCTTCTGGATTCTTCATTTGCTAACAATGGCGTCAAATCGCTATAGTGCAGTCCCATCCGAAATTGACCGGCAGCAAGTGGCCACGCCGTCCCAAAAGGGTACCTCTCCTTGGCCATAAATTTAATGGTTGAAATTCGAAATGATCAAAATATCCCGCACGCTAGCAGTTGAAATTAAGCTGATTGTAACAGATGTCGATGCATGTTGAGAAAAGGCGGTAATGGTCGGCTAAAATATGAAAAAGCTAAAACGAAGGAAAATCTCTTCCTCTTTGGCTCATCAGATAACGCGTGGTCTTGAACCTCTTCCCCATTAGAAAAGAAAAGACAAATCTTATCAGAATACAATGTGGAAGATTGCAGCTTGCAGTTGCTGATTTAATGATGAACCTCTCCAGTTGCTCTTTGGACACCTACTGGAAAAATGCACTGCTCCATTGAAATGTAGAGCTAGAAATAAAGAGACGAAAATATAGAGATATCTTCCACTATGAGAAATGCTACTTATACAGCATAATGGAAGCTAAGACAAGTTACAAGTGGTCTAGGGTTGTCGTCGGATTAAAACATTTATCATAAACAAAATTTACCAAATTTCTACTAATAATAAGAACCATATATCTAAAGTAAAGATTCTATCTCCTTAAAAGAATTGAGCTTACAACTTAGAACAGAAAATAGACGTTGAAGATCACTCTTTCTTATACTTCGGTTTCAATCCCTTCGGTCAGAGTCTCCCGCCTCTTATACTTCGGTTTCAATCCCTTCGGTAAGAGTCCCCGGCCCGTTTTCACTGCTAGTTGCTGGCTGGGAGAGGGAAAGAGCTAGAGAAATTCATA